AGTGAGGGAGAGTTGGGAGGTTTAATACTAGTATTTTGTGTCTTCACGTGCTTCAGGGAACAAAATTATAATATATGATTTTCATTTTCTTCTTAACTTTCTTTTCCTTTTTCTTCTCTTCCTCGTTATTTTTTATTGACTTAGGGTCTTGCTACGTACCCTTCCAGGCTTAAACTTTCTGTATAGCCTAGTCTAGCCATGCAAGAGCATGAGGTCCTGAATTCAAGACCCCTGGCACATACTAAGCAAACAAACAAAACAGGAAAGAGGTTAGAGCAGACTGGTCATTGCTATTGTACTGGTCAATGACAGCAGTCCAGGACATTGGTTTGTCAATAGCCACTTACGTTATACATTCCCAGTACAAATGTAACAAACAGGAAAAGGCTTTTACTGGAGCTATTTATGATGTTCATGGTGTCAAGGAGTCTGTACAAGCCTGTCATGCTAGACCAGATGACCTAAATTACTATAGTCTCATGTTTCCCTCAGATTAAAGAATTTTGTGACTTCATTCTTGTGACTTTTCTCACCATCATCTTCCCCAGCTCTTTCTCAGCCTTTATAATCACTATACTTTATAGTGAATACATTTCTATATAAATATATGTTCTATTGAATCTGTTTCCCTCAAGAAATAGGGATTGGATTGGTGGAGAGAATACTTCATATTAGTGAATACAAAGATAGTTACGTACAGATTATTGTCACTCTGATGAGGTCTCATATGGTTATGAGAAATATGTTATTCACCAAAGTAGAAAAAGCTAACATTACCAAAGAGGCAAAGAACCTGAGTAGGGCTCATGTTATAGTTGGTTGTTTTTTGTTGATGGTGATGGTTTATTTTGAAAAAAAAATAATTTATAAGAAATAGAATTTGATATTTACCTGTGACTTTCTCAGCTAAATATAGAAGGAACATGTTGGTTCTTCCTTACTGCTTGTAGTATGGTGAAAGTAGAGATAAAATGAATTGAAGATGGAATTGTGACCCAAAAAAGGAATGAGAACTTAAAATTTTGGAAAATTGGGCTGGGAATGTGGCTTAGTGGTAGAGTACTTACCTGCCAAGCATGAAGTCCTGGGTTCGATTCCTCAGTACCACATAAACAGAAAAGGCCAGAAGTGGCGCTGTGGCTCAAGTGGTAGAGTGCTAGCCTTGAGCAAAAGAAGGCCAGGGACAGCGCCCAGACCCTGAGTTTAAGCCTTAGGGCAATCTCAGCACTCTCTCTCTCTCTCTCTCTCTCTCTCTCTCTCTGTGTCTCTCTGTCTCTGTCTATCTGTCTCTCTCTCTCTCACACACACACACACACAAATACTTGTTCTTCAGTCTAACTGGCAAAAAAAAAATTGGAAAATTCTCAGTAAGTCTGTATTACAGAACTGAGAAGGTATGTTTATAAGCGAACCCTAAGGTTGTGGCAGACTGACAGTTTGACCAGCTGCACTGTAAACCATAGATCTAAGGAGCCATCTCAACAAAAAAGCAAGAATGATCATGGGATGGTAGCAGAAACACTGCCAGCTGGGATAAGGAAAGAAAGACTGTCGACTCCTTAGACTCAACAGAACTGCATCTTAGAGCTATTCAACTGGGACCAGTCACTGTTCTTTAAAACAAAAGGGGAAAAAATATCCACTGATCATTTAGAGTTGATCAGGACTGCCACTTCTACTACAAGACCAAAGTGCATGGCCTAGAATACAAGACTGCCTCTGCCTCCACTCCGTAGTGCAGTGCCTATTTCCCACAGGGGTCATGCCAACCCATAGCAGCAGAGGTATAACTCCTGACCAACAGAGCAATGAATAGAAAAACTTTAGCTTGGCATGCCACCTTGACTCTGTCAAGGACGCGAAACCCCCGCAAGAGTGAGCTATAGCAGCAGTACCACCGTCCTCGTAGGTCTCAGAAGGCAGAGCTTTAAGCCAAAGAAGCTTATCAAAATTTAACCTATCACATAGAGTTTTAGCAATATAGCTACTGTGTCTCCTGGATTTCCATGGGAAGTCTATTTCCTACTGACCCAGGTGGGTCTAGCAGACAGGGATCTCAGTCTTGTACATATGGGATAAATATATGAAAAGCAGATTCTGGATGGTATGCCTTCCAGATTCTCTCTGGGGCTGTGTTTTCAGCAGCACGTACCTGGCTCATTTCATCTGAGTGAAATACTTACAGGGGAATAAAAAAAATCTTTTTTTTTCATACCGTAGATATTACTTACCAGCTAGGTTTTGGATTTGCTTATGACTTATACCCCTCCCTGCTTTCCTACTGCTCTTCTTCAGAATGGGGACATCTAACTTATACTTTGTTCACTATTATATTCCAGAAACACTTGTGTGATTTCATGCGTTTGCAACTGGAGAGAGATTTTGCCTCAAGATGAGTCTTACTTTTAGTCTCACTCACAAGATTTTAAAAAGTTTTGTGTTTTAGCCTTTAGAGTTGAGGCTGACTTGAGTTAGGTGTTTAAGGCTATTGAGATGAGATGGATATGTTTTTATGTGAGAAAGACAGGAATTTTGAGGGGGCAGGGTAGGATGCTATACATTCAATGGCTGTCCCTTAAAAAATACATATATTGAAATGTTAATCATCATTGTGATACTATTAAGAGGTAGGTACTCAGCCAAGCACCAGTGGCTCACACCTGTAATCCTAGCTACTCAGAAGGCTGAGATCTGAGGATCGCAGTTCAAAGCCAGCCTGGGCAGGAAAGTCCATGATACTCTTACCTCTATTAAACCACTAGGAAACTGGAAGTGGCACTGGTCTCAAGTGGTAGAGAACTTGCCTTGAGCTGAAAAGCACAGAGACAGCACAAGCCCAAAGTTCAAGGCCCACAACTGACCAAAAAAAAAGGGGGGGTAGGTGCTTTGGTTATTATGAGGCCCTCCCTCATAAATGGAAATGTCTTTTTTTGTGTGACAGAGTCTCCATATTTAGCCAAGACTGCCCTCAAAATCATGATACTTCTTCCTAAGCCTATTGGGAGTTGAGATTACAGATGTTCACTACAAGTAGTGGCCTTCTAAGAAGAGACATGAGAATTTGATCTCTCTCTCTCTCTCTCTCTTATACATGCCCCCCCTCTCTCTCATATGTCCAGATACAAAAAAATTGACTAACTACAAACTAAAAGAGTGACTTCACCTAATCTCCAGGACTGTAAGAAAGAAATTTCTGTCATGAAGACACAATGTATGGTTTTCTGTCACAGCGTTCCAAAATAAGACAGTCATAAATGTAAAACTGTATATAAGGAAAACTATAAAACTGATGAAAAATATCAAATAGAGAGCTATTCTACATTCACCAACAGGAAGATTTACTATTGTCAAGCTGTTTCTCCCAACTTGATGTACAGATTAAATGTAAACTCAGTCTATATCCCAGCAAATTGTTTTGTGGATATTGAAATTTTATTCTAAAAAAGAAAGAGGCAGAGAAGTGGCACTGTGACTCAAGTGGTAGAGTGCTTGCCTTGTGCAAAAGAAGCTCAGGGACATTGCCCAGGCCCAGAGTTCAAGCCCCAGGACTGGCAGAGAGGGAGAGTGGCAGGCAAATGGGGGAGCAAAAGATCTAGAATAGCTAATTTAATATTGGAGAAGAAAAGCAAAATGAGAGGACCACCACAACTTGACTAAAGTCTTACTATAAAACAACAGTAACCAGACCATGTAGCATTAGCAAAAAAAAGTAAATATATAAACAGTCTCCCTTATGCTGGAATTACATGCATCTACTACCTCTTGTTTTTCTGTCTTTTTTGGAGGCTGTCTTTTTTTTTCTTTTACATCTCAACCTGACTTGTATTTCAAAATATTAGCACAAATTGCTTTTTTTGGTGATTTTTCTTAGCTTGTCAAATAAGGTCTAGACTCATAATATGACCTTGTTAGTGCTAGCTGTAGAAATGGGTGTGTTCCTCATGATTCATAGTGACATCCATGGAAAGTCAAAGCCACACTTGCACTGACTACTGTCTGCTTGAAAGCAACGGTGGAAAAAATCATTCACTTACAGGATGCAAGTGGAGGATAGTGTAGCTAGAGTGTTGACCTCATAAGAAAATATGTCTATGTATTCACTCCTAGTACCTGTGAATATGATAATCTTCTTAGAAATAAAGTTTTTTTCTGGTGTAACTAATAGTATCATTCTAGATTTAAGGTGCAAGTGTCCTTATTTTTAAAAAAATAGGGCTGGGAATGTGGCTTAGTGGTAGAGTGTTTGTATAGCATGCATGAAACTCTGGGTTTGATTCCTCAGTACCACATAAACAGAAAAAGCCAGAAATGGCTCTGTGGCTCACATGGTAGAATGCTAGTCATACGCAAAGAAAAAAGCTCAGGGACAGGGCCCAGGCCCTGAGTTCAAGCCCCAGGACGAGAAAGGGGGGGAGGGGGAAAGAAACACAAGGGAAAAATCAAGTAAAAATTTCTACAAGCCAAGGAATGCCAGAATATAGGAATAATGCATAGGTAGACTATGGAGCTCAAGGAAAACCAGCCCTACCAACACACTGATGGACTTCTGATCTCAAGAATGTTTTTCTGATGTTTAAATATACCTGGTTCATGGTAATTTATACAGCAACTAAGGGAAATTAATATAACTGCTATTGGACAGATTCTCACAAAAAATACCCTGATGAATTAGAACAAATAAGTTAAAAAAAATTGTCAGGCTAGGAATGGTGGCATATGCCTGTAATTCCAACAGAAGGGAGGCTGAGAGGCTGAAGCAGGAGGATTGCAAGCTCAAGGTCAACCTGGACTACATAGTAAGATTCTGTCTTAAAGAACAAACAAACAAACAAAAACCAAAAAGTAATTTAAGCTGGTCACGAGTGGCTCATGCCTGTAATCCTAGGAACTCAGGAGGCTAAGATCTAAGGATCACAGTTTCCTGCCCAAGCAGGAAAGTCCTTGAGACTTTATCGTCAATAAACTACTCAGAAAAGGATGGAAGTGGTGCTGTGACCCAAGTGGTAGAGAACTATCCTTGAGCTAAAGACGCTCAGAGACAGTGCCTAGGCCCTGAGTTCAAGCCCCAGAACCAGAAAAAACGTTTAATCCTAGTTGGCCTCCATATAATTATTTACTCATTCATTTTTCAAATATCCCTTGTGTATTTGGCTCAAAAATATAGCTGGAACTCTTTAGATGCTTTTACTCTGCAGGTGGGAAGTTTATGGTAGAGATTCTGCATTTGCTCTGGAAAAGCTATTACCTTCTAGATTTCACATTCTGCCTGATAGTTGACTAACAAATGGCTATAATTAGTAATAATTTCACTTGAAGTGACAGAGTTGGAGACAAAGGCAATAAATATTCCCACACTTGAGTGGAAAGGTACTGGATACCGCCTGGTAGGATTTATGAAAGATAAAAGCCCTATCTACATATCATCTATGTACAAGAAGAATCATTATCAAAGAGGACATTGAAGGGAATTTATAGAAGCAGAAGGTATTAAGATTCTTCTGCAGGACATTCCTTATTACTGGACTGTATGTACATTGCACAACTCCAGGGGGCGCCATTCATCACACAGTTACTCGGGATTTGTATAGCATTATGTAAGTCCATCCAGCAGATGGCAGTGAAGTCTCTTGAAGACTAAGTTCCTTCTATTCATAACAAAATCATATGGTTAGCAGAGCTGTGCTTCTTTCCTTCTTCCCCTTAGTGTTTCCCAAACCAAGTACGAGTAGTTGGGTGACACTTGTAATAGATATTGGTATGGTCTACAACAGGAGAGACTAACATCCTGCTCCCTGAACAAATACAAACTAAACTACAGAAACTCTTAGGCCTGTTCAGGCTATTTGCTGTCAGAGCAGCATCTGGGAGTGTTGTGAAAACCTGAGTATACCAGGAAACTTAGGGCATATGCTGAATGCAGGAGACTGGCTAGCACCACCATGATAGCAGCACAAAAAGAGTAAGTAGTCCCAGCATTTGCCAGGCAGAGGAGGAGGATTACAAATCTGAAGCTTGCCTGGGTTATATAGCATGTACAAGGCCAGCCATAGTACTCCGTAGTGACATCCTGTCTTATAAACACACACACACACACACACACATACAACTTTTGTGCTTCAAAGGACATCATCAACAAAGAAGAAAGATAACCCAAATATAGGTATTTACAAATCTTATATTTGAAAACAAAATTGTATCTAAAATAATGATATCTTACAACTCAACTAAAATAACCCAAGAATCTCAACAGTTTTTTTTTTTTCAAAGATGTTACACAAAGCCAGGCACCATGGCTCACAACTGTAATCCTAGCTACTCAGAAGGCTGAGATCTGAGGATTGTGGTTCAAAACCAGCCTGAGCAGGAAAGTCTGTGAGACTCTTATCTCCAATTCACTCCCAGAAAACTGGAAATAGTGCTGTGGCTCAAAGTGGTAGAGTACTAGCCTTGAGAAAAAATGCTCAAGGACAGCATCCAGGTTGTGAGTTCAAGCCCAACCACTGACACACACAAAAAGATGTTATGAAAGTAGCCAACAAGCACTCAAAAGTATACGAAATATCAATAACCACCAGAGCAATGTATATCAAAAGTACAATAAAGTGAACTCATGAAATGGTAGCCCCTCTGAACAACACATTAATAGTAACAATAAGGTTTTTGTTTTTTTTTTTGGCCAGTCATGGGACCTGAACTCTGGGTCTGGGCGCTGTCCCTCAGCTCTTCAGCTCAAGGCTAGTGCTCTACCACTGGAGCCACAGCACCACTTCCGGCTTTTTCTGTTTATGTGGTGCTGAGGAATCGAACCCAGGGCCTCATGCTTGCAAGGCATGCACTGTACCGCTGAGCTATCTTCCCAGCCCACAATAAGGTTATTTTTAAAAAATAAAAAAAAGTTTGTGCGCTGGGATGACTATAATAATTTTTTCTTAAAGACACAGTAAGTATTGATGAAATAGAATCCTCATCCCTGCTCATGGGAATATAAAATGGTTTATATACTTTGGGAAACAGCTTGGCTATTCCTTAAAGGAAGATAGAATTATGTATATCACATACATGCATGATACATGTAAGTAGCACATATATGCTATATACAACATATATATGGGCTTTATGGGCATGCAACATATAATTCACTCATTTAATATATAGAATTCAAAATTTTTTATATAAACAGAGTTGGGCACACATCATGATTTGTCTTAAGGTATTTTCTTTTTATTTTTTTTATTATTTATTATTTATTATTTTTTTTTCCGTGAGCCCTGAATTCTGGGCCTGGGCACTGTCCCTCAGCTCTTCAGCTCAAGGCTAGTGCTCTACCACTTGAGCCACAGAGCCACTTCTGGCTTTTTCTGCTTATGTGGTGCTGAGGAATTGAACCCAGGGCCTCATGGATGCAAGGCAAGCACTCTACCACTGAGCCACCTTCCCAGCCCCAGCTTTGAATTTTAAACTATGTTTTTATTTTTTGTTAGTTGTGGGGTCTGAACTCTGGGCTTGGGCACTGTACCTTAGCTCTTCAGCTCAAGGCTTGTACTCTACCACTTGAACCACAGCGCCACTTCTGGCTTTTTCTGTTTATGTGGTGCTGAGGGCTCGAATCCAGGGTCTCATGCACGCAAGGCAAGCACTCTACCACTGAGCCACCTTCCCATCCCCTTTTAAGGCATTTTCACCACGCCCTGAGAAACTAGTCATTGATCCTACCATTTTAGATTTATCTGTGTGTGGACATTTATTATACATGGAATTGAACAATCTATGGGTTTTGTGACTTTTTTCACCTAGCTTAAAGGTTTAGTCAAAAAAGAAAAAGAAAGCTTCTAGAGACTTTTTGTTTCCTGCTCCTTCCTTGTTTGCTGATTGCTGTACTTTTCTAAGATCAGGACAGCTGATGAATAAACATTATTTATGTAATGCATGCATCTTCCTGATGGGCCACACTCATAGATAAGCAGGAAAATGTTTCTTTCTGGAAACTAGATAAGGCTTAACTTCACTCACCAGTCAGGTCACTCTCCGTTCTGTGGTTCCTAACCCCGACTGCGTTATTAGAATCATCAGAGGCAGCTTTCCACTCATAGACAGACAATTGAGTCAGACTGGGATTTGAGGCCCCCAGGGTGGTTATTTTTTTTAAGGCTCTTCAAGTGATTCTAATGTGAAGGCAGGGTTAAGAATCCCAGACTTAGATTTACGGATAAAATGCATATGCATATTATGACTGTCTCCCCTGCGTAAGCAGGAAAGTACAGATGTACCTAGAAACACATGGAAAGGCTGATACTGCTTAGCATGACATAGTGGGCTGACAGAGCACATTCCTGATGACCATTATCCCAGTTCCCTGTGGATCGTTGCAGGTTTTCTTTTCTTCAGTCAATCCAATCTTCCTCCCACATGCAAGTGCAGGAATATAAGTAGTAGAGCAGTAGCTAGAAGACATGAATTCTACCCTTGGTCTCTCCCTCACTCATTGTGGGACACAAGGCAGGTCACTTGGTATCTCTGACCTTATAAAATAGCCATGATGTTATTGCCTGTCCTACCTATGTACTAGAATTGTATGAAGTCTACATGAGATGTGCAAACAGTCATAAACTATAAAATGCAATGTCAACCTAACAATATGACTATATACTAATGAGCTGCCTGGACAGAGAAGCCCTTTCTCGGTTTTCCTGAGGTAATCAGCTACCTGCAGTTGTTTTGGTTTTTTTTTTTTTTGTAGTTTTATAGGCATATGTCCCATAGGAAAAGAAGGAAGGCAGGTGTATGTATGAGCATGCATTAAAAATTGTTTATAACTTGTATTAATTGTACAAAATAGTAGGTTTCACTGCATATTAATAAGTGGCATTTTCCCACATACTTACAACATTTGGTCCTACTTCCTATTAATACCTTTCTGGGCTGGGAAGGTGGCTCAGTGGTAGAGTGCTTGCCTTGCATGCTCAAGGCCCTGGGTTCGATTCCTCAGCACCACATAAGCAAAAAGAAAAAAGCCAGAAGTGGCGCTGTGGCTCAAGCAGTAGTGCGCTAGCCTTAAGCTGAAGAGCTGAGGGACAGCGCCCAGGCCCAGAGTTCAGGCCCCACGACCGGACCCAAAAAAAAAAAAAAACCCTATTAATACCTTTCTATCCCCCACCCCTTTTTTATTTTGTTGGTCCTGGGGCTTGAACTCTTGGCCTGGGCACTGTCCCTTAGCTCTTCAGCTCCTACTGCTTGAGCCACAGGACCACATCCAGCTTTTTCTTTTTTTGGGGGGGGGGGGTCCGGTCGTGGGCCTTGAAATCTGAGCCTGGGCGCTGTCCCTCAGCTCTTCAGCTCAAGGCTAGCGCTCCACCACTTGAGCTACAGCGCCACTTCCGGCTTTTTTCTTTTTGCTAATGTGGTGCTGAGGAATCGAACCCAGGGCCTCAGGCATGCAAGGCAAGTGCTCTACCACTGAGCCACCTTCCCAGCCCACATCCAGCTTTTTCTGCTTATGTGGTGCTGAGGAATCAAACCCAGGGCCTCAGGCATGCAAGGCAAGAACTCTACCATTAAGCCACCTTCCCAGCCCATCACCCTCCCCCCCCAATTTTTTGAAAGTACTGGGCTTGAGCTCAGGGCATCTCACTCTCAGCTTATGTGTTCATGGCTGGTGTTTTAACACTTGAACCACACCTCTAGTCAGACCTTTGGCCAGTTATTTTGGAGATGGACTCCCCTGAACTTTTTTTTTTTGGGGGGGGGGTCGGTCATGGGGCTTGAACTCTGGGCTTAGGTGCTGTCCTTAGCTCTTCAGCTCAAGGCTAGCGCTCTACCAACTTGAGCCACTGTGCCACTTCCAGTTTTTTGGTGGTTTACTGGAGATAAGAGTCTCATGGAGTTTCCTGTCTGGGCTGGCTTTGAACCACGATCCTCAGATCTCAACCTCCTGAGTAGCTGGGGTTACAGGCGTGAGCCACTGGCTCCCAGCTCTCCTGAACTTCTTTTGCAAGCATTGGCTGTGGACAGCAATCCTCTGGATCTCAGCCCATTCAGTAGCTAAGATTACAGGCATAAGCCATTGGTGCCCAGAGGATTACAGGCCTAAGCCACTGGTGCCTAGACTCCTATTGCCCTTTCTTAACCTTCCTTTCCCTTCTTCTCTCCTTACTCTTCTCTAATTAATCTGAGTCGCATTTTTTTGCCATTTACAAAGGAAAATAAAATAGTGAGTATATTGAAAAATAAAATAGTGCTATGTGACTCATGCAGAATGATGCTAGTGAAGCAGTATTAAGTAAACTAAGTTGCAGCATCCTGCATACTGCAGGCTAATATCCACTCAAAATCATATAAAAATGTGTAAACATCCTTTTGTAATTAATATGCACTAAAAAATGGCAAACAGGCTATGTTGTGGGTTAGGTACCAGCTTGGGGGAAGCAGCAGTGGATGAGAGTGAATATGGTCTATGTGAAAAAACAGAACAATGGAACCTGTTGAAAATATTTTAAGCAAGGAGGAAGTAGATGATAAAGGGTGTGTGTGAGAGAGAGAGAATGATAGAGGGTAGATGATAGAATAATAAAGGGGGTGAGTTTGAGTGGGGTACATTATATGCAAATACGGAAATGTCACAGTGACACTCCCTTGTACAAAAAATATATGCCAGCCGAGTGCTGGTGGCTCACGCCTGTCATCCTAGCTACTCAGGAGGCTGAGATCTGAGGATCATGGTTCAAAGCCAGCATGGGCAGGAAAGGCCGTGAGACTCTTATCTCCAATAAACCACCAGAAAAAAACTGAAAGTGGCGCTGTAGCTCAAGTGGTAGAGCGTTAGCCTTGAGCTGAAGAGCTGAGGGACAGTGCCCAGGCCCAGAGTTCAAGCCCCACGACCAACCAAAAAAAATATATATTTATATATATATATATATATATTTATGCCAATAAAAATGACCTGGGCAGGACCTTGATATATGTATAGATACCATGAACTAGAGTAGTCAACCCTTCAAAGTCAGGAAGTGACTGAGCTTCCTGTGGTTTGGGTAAAGGAAAATAAGTCTGGGGTCAGATACTGAACCAATACAACAAAAAATACAAAACAGCTCATAAGTAATCTTTATATTAGCCAGGCATGGTGACACATGCCAATAATCCCAGCACTGGAGAGTAGAGGATTGAGAATTTAAGAACCGTCCAGACTACACAGTGAAGTTTTTGTCTTAAAACAAAAATTTTTACATTGAGTATATGTTTTTTGTTTTTTTGTTTTTGTTTTTTGTCAATCATGGGGCTTGAACTCTGGGCCTGAGTGCTGTCCCTCAGCTCTTCAGCTCAAGGCAGCATTCTACCACTTGAGCTACAGCGCCACTTCTGTTTTTCTGGTGGCTTTTATTGAAGATTAAAAAGTTTCACAGACTTTCCTGCCGGGGCTGGTTTTGAACCATGATCTCAGATCTCAGCCTCCTGAGTAGATAGGATTACAGGCGTGAGCCACCGGCGCCTAGCTTACATTGAGTATATATTGAAATGAGGTACTGCATTAAACTGTTTTCAAATTTAATTTTACTTCTTTACTTTCACTTTCATAGTCTGGCTACTAAAAGAAAATAGCACATGGCTGGTTGCATTTGTGGCTTGTCTATATTTCTACTGGATGTTCTGTTTGTACTGTCCTAGATAGCAATTTTTTTCTATACTAGAATTTGAACTTAGAACCTTGATCTGGCTAGCATTCACACCCCAGTCCTTTCTGTTTTACTTATTTTTCAGGTAGATTCTAAAGTTTTTTCTCCCCCAGGATTGCCTGGACTTCTATCCTCCTACTTATGTCTCCTGCATAGCGGGAATGACAAGTATACAGAGAGACACCCAGTTTTTTGTAGTTTTGTTTTTGTTGTTGTGGAAATGAAGGATCATTGACTTTTTGCTCAGCCAAGCTGGCTTCCACCTCCAGCTCACAAGTAGCTTGGTATTGCAAGCATATACAATGCCTTAGTTGGTTTTACACATTGAAAATGCCTCACCTTGCTGTATTATATATATACAAGTTTGCATATGGTAGCTCTTCAGATCTATCCATATCTCATCAGGCTATTACATCATACAACACCAAAATCAAAGGAAATGTCCCCCACTGGGTTGTGCAATGAATAATAAAGGCTGCCATACATAGTCCTAATTTATATTTTGTGCATCTTATTTAATCTACAGCTAGGTCACAAAGATATTTCTCTCTTATTATTTTTATTATAATTGAAAAAGAAATATCAGGTCAGTGAATATCAGAAATATCAGGTCATAGAAGCACTAAAAAGAGTGATTTATAATGTCAAAATGATGCTGGTTTTATTCAAATTGGATGATGACAGGAAAATCACGTATCACGAATTTTATGATTTTTGACAGCAATGTTATTTTTCCAGTTATGTTTTAAATAGGCAAATGTTAAAATTTGCATTCCAAAGAACACATTGATAGATGCTGAGAAAGGCAGGACAAAAGTGCGCTGAGTGACAGGCTCACTCCAGTTTTAATCTAAATGTCTGTGGTAGTTTATTCTCAAAACAGATAAATAGCCTTGGTATGGATAATAAAGAATAGTCAAGAAATTGTAAAAATAAGGAGATGATATTTTGATACCTTTATTATTCTGAAATGTGGTTTTTGGTACATCATTTGCTTACCAGGAAAAGTCAATAGGTTGCTACTCTGTAACAGCTCAAATCCCAGGTGCTCAGATCTGTCAGTAGAGACACCTATAAGCTTGTCCCATCCAGTTTCCCATGTCTCATATTCCTGTCAAACTTTTTTTTTTTTTTTTTTTGGTCAGCCATGGGGCTTGAACTCTGGGCCTGGGCGCTGTCCCTCAGCTCAAGGCGAGCACTCTACCACTTGAGCTACAGCACCACTTCCGGTTTTCTGGCAGTTTATTGGAGATAGGAGTCTCACGGTCTCTCCTGCCCGGGCTGGCTTTGAACCGCGATCCTCAGATCTCAGCCTCCTGAGTAGCTAGGATTACAGGCGTGAGCCACCAGCGCCCGGCTCCTGTCAAACTTTTATATTCCAGATACCACATCTTAACTCATACCTTCCCATCAATATCTTGGGTGATCTCACAGTTAAAAATGGGAGCCTCAGGCAAATAGGGCTATACGTTTTGTAAATGAAACTAATATTTCCTAAATTATTTGAGTAAATATCCTATACTTAACAAGTGGCTAAAATTCATTTGAACAACTGTTTTCACCTTGAAGTAACTCACCTGACTTCATATAAAGAAAAATGCCCTGGGCAGACGCAAGTAGAAAATAACAGGTTCAAATGAGATATCAAATGATAAGGTGTTTAAAAGTTGAGGTCAACTTCAGACCTGTTAATATGCCCATTACAACCACAGAAATACAGGTTGGCAATAGTAAGTATTGTAATTGTCTCCAAACCCTTTAATTCAAGAAAGAAGTTTGAGAGGTCACAAAAAGTCAAAGGTAATGAGACCACCTCACGTCAGACCAAGTTTAGGATGTTTAGAGATTGAAGTCATTTATTCTGGATTAATACTAGGAATTCCATCTCAGTTTAGGCATTAACACTTACTGGAATTTAAAAGTTAATTATAAATTAAAAGCTGACCCTCGTTTTTACTCAGCCCCTAACTGTAGACTTAATTATGACTGTGGGAGTGTATAATTTTCATTTTTTAGACTTTATGCTACTTGTGGTACAAGTCTGGACATTACATTAAGAAAGGCAAATGCTTTTGAGATGTCTTATGACCGTTATAACATCAGCCTCAGTGTCTACTGGAAAAAAATTGCAGATGCAAGAATTTGTCTCTCAATATTGTATTTGATATTGAAATGTATTACCCAATTTACATACTTTTTCAATTTCAGGTGTGATTTTTTTTTCCTTTCAAGTTCATTGCTTCTCTTTGTCTACTCATCCTTCTGGGTTTATTTTTCTTCTTGTTGAAGCTACCTATGGATAATTAGCTCTCAATATTTCTATATCTGCCAACGGTTTTTGGGTGTTGTTTTGGGAATGCTAGGATTTGAACTTGGCCTTATACTTGTTAGTTAGGTACACTACCACTTGAGCCACACCCTCAACTATTGAAGATGTTAATTCTACTGTTTTCTGACATAGTGTGTGTGTGTGTGTGTGTGTGTGTGTGTGTGTGTGTTAGGGCTTGAATTCAGGGCTTTGTGCTCTTGACTGGATTTTTAGCTCAAGGCTGCCATTCTACCACTGGTGTGTGTGTGTGTGTGTGTGTGTGTGTGTGTGTGTGTGTGTGTGTGTGTGTGTGTGTGTGTGTGTGTGTGTGTGTGTGTGTGTGTGTGTGTGTGTGTGTGTGTGTGTGTGTGTGTGTGTGTGTGTGTGTGTGTGTGTGTGTGTTAGGGCTTGAATTCAGGGCTTTGTGCTCTTGACTGGATTTTTAGCTCAAGGCTGCTATTCTACCACTTGAGCCACAACTTCACACCCCTCTTTTTGCTAGCTAACTAGAGATGAAAGTCTCATGGACTTTTCCTGCCAAGGCTGGCTTTGAATTGTAATCATCTGATCTCAGCCTCCTGAATAAGATTGTAGGCTAGGCTCAACAACTTTTCTGATTAAAAATTGGATTAAGGGACTAGGAATCTGCTTAGTGGTAGAGTGCTTGCCTAGCATGCATGAAGCACTGGGTTCGATTCCTCAGTACTACATCAACAGAAAAAGCCAGAAGTAGTGCTGTGGCTTAAGTGGTAGATTGTTAGCCTTGAGCAAAAGAAGCTCAGGGACAGTGCCTAGGCCCTGAGTTCAAGCTCCAGGACTGCCAAAAAAATTGGATTGTCTTTCCTTTCTGGTTAATCTTTTAATTTTACACTTTTTGTTGTTATCCCATTTCATTGCATGTATCTAGATATTAACTTGTCCTTGTACGTGAGATTGAACTCAGGGTCCCATGCTTGCTAGACAGATGCCCTGCCATTTGAGCCATGCCTCTAGCCCTTTTTACTTTCTTTATTTTTCAGATTAGGTCTAACTTTTTGCCTAGGCCTAAACTGTGATCCTCCTATTATACTTCCCAGGTAGTCGGGATGGTAAATGCAATGTTACCTCTACCAACTTTTTATTGTTGAGATGATATTTCTAGACTGTTCTTTCCAGACTACCTTCAAGTCACAAACCTCCAATCTCAACCTTCCAAGCAGCTAGAATTATAGGCATGACCCACCATGCCCAGCTTAACTTTTTTTTCTTTCAACCTCCTTAAACATAAATGTGTTCTTTATGTAACTTACAGCTTCTGTTTTAAGAGTTTTTCTTCTTGCTAGAATTATAATTTCTGTGGTGCCCATGAATACCTGGAGGATAGAAGCTTCCTTATAGTTTTATAATGTGATTTTCATTGTCGTGTTTGAGCGCTAGAAAACCACAAGTTTTCATGCTTATTTCTTGGTTTGGGACAGTCCAAAATGTATGGTATCCCTAGTTTCAGGGAGCTCCTAAGGTCTCCATCTATGTCAAATTGGCTCACATTTATAGTAACTCTGGGCTCTTGGACTTTCTTGGTCCTTACTGTTAGACATCATGGTAACTTTGCAACTCCATGCAGGCACAGGACAGCAGCCTCAGCTCTCGTCCCTGGGTTTGCCCAGTGGCAAAGGCATGAGTCACTTTGGTTCCTCCTTCGTGCAACAAAGTTTCAGCTCCTCTTTGCTATGACTATAGCTTACATTTCTTGAGAATTTTTATTTTATCTTTTTGTTTTTGAGCTTATATATATATCTATCTATATATATATCTTTTTTTTTTTTTTTTTTTGTCGGTCGTGGGGCTTGAACTCTGGGCCTGGGTGCTGTCCCTCAGCTCTTTAGCTCAAGGCGAGCACTCTACCACTTGAGCTACAGCGCCACTTCTGGTTTTCTGGTGGTTTATTGGAGATAGGAGTCTCACAGTCTCTCCTGCCCGAGCTGGCTTTGAACCGCGGTCCTCAGATCTCAGCCTCCTGAGTAGCTAGGATTACAGGCGTGAGCCACCAGCGCCCGGCATATATATATATATATATATATATATATATGTATATATATATGTATATATATATATATATTAAATTAATGATTTTGTTAATACCGATTTCTATGTGTGAAATAGATTGAAAACATTCTATTCAGTTCACTGTTTTCACTGGATCTTTTTACAACTTCCTTCCTTCCTTCCTTCCTTCCTTCCTTCCTTCCTGTTCTGGGGCTGGGATTCAGAGCCTGGGCACTGTCTCTGGGCTTCTTTTGCTCAAGGCTAGCACTCTACCACTTGAGCCACAGTGCCGCTTCCAGCCTTCTCTATTTTGTGATACTGACAAATTGAACCCAGGACTTCATGCATGCTAGGCAAGCACTCTATCACTAAGCCACATTCCCAACCCTACTTTCAGCTTTCTTTGTTGTTGTTTAGTTTTTATTCATAATCATAAGCTTAACTCAGCATTCCAGCTAGATTTGGAGGGGAGGTAAGGAAAACCTGGAACCCAAAGAACTGCAGTGAGAGTACAAAGATTGCAGATATTGCAAGCAGATGGGGTGGAAGGGTACGCTCCTGAGCTACAGAAGGAATGGTCTGGTGGTTACAGATCAAATGTATTAGAGTTGTCCACAGTCAGTAATGGTGACCTTCTTGCTGGTCTTGCCATTCCCGGACCCAAAGCCCTGCATGGCTTCCATCACTTCCATGCTCTCTTTCACCTGCCCAAAAACCACATGCTTGCCGTCCAACCAATCGATCTTGACAGGGCAGATGAAAAACTGGGAACCATTTGTGTTTGGTCCAGCATTTGCCACGGATAAGATGCCAGGACCTGTATGCTTCAAGATGACAATCTCATCCTCCAATTTCTCTCCGTAGGTGGCCTTGCCACCAGTGCCATTATGGCATGCGAAGTCACCACCCTGGCACATGAAGCCTGGGATAATCCTGTGAATGCAGGAACCCTTATACCCAAATCCTTTCTCTCCAGAGCTCAGAGCGCAATGTCAAAGAACATGGTGGGGTTGACCATGGCTGGCAGCTGGTAACCATCTGCAAAGCGTCTCAGCTTTCTTAAGATCATTGGTACTAAAGAAAAAATAGAGGGGTCGGGGGGGAGGATGGGAAGGGAGGGGAAGGAGGAGGCTACGAGGCTTGATAAGAAATGTACTCATTATCTTGTCCATGTAATTGTAACCCCTCTGTACAGTATTTTCACAATAAAAAAAGAAAAAGAAAAAGAAAAAATAGAGAGGGGGGACAGGCATGGGAGTGTAGCTGTGGAGGTGAGAGGGAAGAGATGGTAGGGGAAAAACAAAGGGAGAGGCAACAATGCTTGATAGGAGATGTACTCATTACCTTGCTTATGTAACTGTAACCCTTCTGTACAGTATTTTTACAATAAAAAAAATATATATAGGAAGCCAGGCACTGTGGGCTCACACCTGTAATCCTAGCCACTCAGAAGGCTAAAATCTGAGGATCATGGTTCAAAGCCAGCCTGGGCAGGAACATCCCTGGGGTGAGACTCGTATCTCTAATAAACCACTAGAAAACCGGAAATGGCGCTGTGACTCAAGTGATAGAGCGCTAGCCTTGAGCTGAAGAGCTCAGGGACAGCACCCAGGCACAGAGTTCAAGCCCCACGATCAATGGAAAAAAAAAAAAGAGAAAGAAAGAAAGAAAAAGAAAAATATGGGTCTGGAAATGAGGCTTAGTGGTAGATGCTTGCCTAGCATGCATGAAGCCCCGGGTTTGATTCCTCAATACCACATAAACAGAAAAACCTAGAAGTAGCACTGTGGCTCAAGTAGTAGAGTGCTAGCTTTGAGCAAAAGAAGCTCAGGACAGTGCCCAGGCCCTGAGTTCAAGCCCCATGACTGGCAAACCCCATGATCTGGGAAGCCGAGATAGAGGGCCTCAAGTTTGAGGCCAGCCTGGGCTATATAGAAAATTCCAGACTAGCTTAGGCTATAAAATAAGACCTGGTCTCAAAACAAAATAAAACAACAGAATAAATGTTGTTCCTCATGTTAGAGCAATGCATAGTGGCGTTTCCTTGACGCACTGATGAAGTCATGTCTGGTCCAAGCAGAAGCCTGACATCTCATATTGTGATCTGTATATAAGCAGGTCTTTATTTCCAACTACCCTAATACTAGAAATACAGCCTGAGATGCACACATTGCTAGTGTGTGTGCATCATCAATATCTAACTATAGTGTTTCCTCTGCTAATCTTCAGGGCAAAAACGTTTAGGCTTTCCCAAAGATTGGCAAAATGTTCTCAGCAATATGTCATAGGAATCAAGAAATACAAACCTACTAAATCAGAAAGCTTTCTGGGTACCGCATTATACTAATATGATTAGAAAAAAAATCAACATGAGATTATAGTGAAATCTACACTTAAACCTTACAATCCTTGTAAAAAGTAATATGGCAATTTAGGTGGTCATGATGTTTATTTCTTCAAATCAATAAGATTTTTTTATAGTGCTAGAGATTAAATTCAGAGCCTTGCACATGCAACGCAAGTACTGTTCTACTGAGCTACACCCTAGCTGCCAGGACCTCAATACGTGGTGGTCCAGTTTATAAGGTGAGCAAACCAAGATGCTAGCAAACTGACATTGTTATCTTAGAATTCTACCCATTACGTCAGGTTAATCAAAGATCAGCCAACCTCTTCTAAATTCAGATAACCCTGAATTGTCTGTGAACATAAACAGTTGTGTCAAATGTGAGTTAAGTAATACCTTCTGATAAATAATTCCGAGTCTGCAAGCTTCTGGGCCAGACTTCTTCATTGCTACTGGGTCAAAATTTATGCCTGCCCAGAAAGGATGGTAATTGAATATCCTAACACAAATTAGGGGTTTGGAGGTTTCGTTCTCTTTAATTGGGCACCTTATCTATTCTGTGGCTTCTTAAATATAACCCGCTAACCATAGACTTCTTGGTCTACTTAAACATGCAATTTTAAATCCATTATCCAGCAGTATAATTCGCAAAGACTGTATAAAGACTAGTTATGCAATGGTAACATAAAGAATACAGTGACAATTTAAGACAGGTCACTCTCTAGGATGTATAACAATGTTTTGCTTTCTGAAAGCCCCCCAGGAAGAAATGGAACTGATAAATGATGACTGAAATAAAATGTCTTTTTTTTTCCTTTGCGGCAAGAAATCAGGTCTTATCAAATAATTTACTGGCAGCCAGACTTTGTGTTTCATGCCTATAATCTCAGCACTCCGGAGACAGAGGACAGAGGATTATGAGTTTGATGCGAGCCTAGGTAAACCCTGTGTCAAAAACAAGAACTGAAAACAAACAAAAATCAGAACTGAGTTACTAGTATAGTAGTTAAGAACATAAAGGAGAAAGGCACCATTGGCTCACATCTATAATACTAGCTAATCAGAAGGCTAAAATCTGAAGATCTTAGTTCAAAATCAGCCTGGAGAAGACAAATCTGTGAGTCTCCTATCTCCAATTAATAAGCAAAAATCTAGAAGTGGAGTTGTGGCTCAAATGGTAGCGCACCGCCTTGAGTGAATAAGCTAAGGGACAGCGCCCAGGCCCTGAGTTCAAGCTTCCCCCACCCCTGAAAATAAAGAACATAAACTTAAGAGCTTGATACATCTGCATTCCAGTCTCAATTCAGACACTTAGTAGTTATGTGACCTCAGACAAATTGCTTACTCTCTTTAATCTCACTTTACTCATCAGTAAACTAGGGACCCTAAAACTTTTACTTGCTAGACTAAGAAACAATTAAATTAAGTAATGGGTAAGAAACAATTATCCCAGGGCTAGGTCTAGGCTGAGCTTATGATAAATATTAGCTACTGTTTCAAATACTATTGTGGACACCTTACATGGTTGTACAGTTCTACTTCTATGCAGGAAGTAAGTGCAGAGACCAGTAACACTGAGCGCTGAGCTCTCTTCTGTCTGTCTTCTAAAAACAGGAACTCTCTAGCCCCATTTTGCCAATTCTAAAAAGAATATTTATATTGATGATGCCTTGTTTTTTGTTTTTTTGCAATTTTTCTCGCTGAGCACATTAATGTTTTTTTTGGAACTAAAAATACGAATGAATTGATTACTCCATTGGTGCTGTCTAGCATATATCCCAAATCTGGATAAAAGGATTGATACATGATTTGCTACAGGACCACAGAACAAAAATGCATCCCAACAGGCTGTAGTTCCTCTCTTGCTATATCCCCTGAATATTCCAGAATCTCGAGAACATCAGAAAAGGCCTGCTTATATAACATAACACATTTCAGTCAGTGTTTCACCAATGGGATTTTTAGTTTCTTTAAAGGTCTTAGTTGTGGTGGATGTAGATTACAGAGCACAACTCTGGGATTGGGTTCTCTGTCTCCTTCTTTTATGACCTTAAGCAAATTCCTTCCTCTTCCAGTTTTGCTTTCTTGATAGGACTCTCATGAAGAACTTATCTGGTAGGAAAACCCTGAGAAATATTTACCTGTGTCTTGCTGAGGATGTAGTAGATATTTTTTGTCTTACCTTTCCAAGAAAAATGGCCACATCTGCTCCCAGGTTAATTATGGCTTTAATGCAGCAGGGTCAAAGTAATAGTTGCCTGAGATCTGGAGGTGTAGAAACTCTGCTTAATATACACAAGGCCCTGGGTTAAAACTTTAGCAAAGGAAAAAGGAAGAAGGGTGAAGGGAAAGGAAAGGAGGGGAGGAGAGAAGGGGAAAGGACAGGAGAAAGGAAGAGGAAGAGAGAAAAAGGGAAAGATAAGAAGGAAAAAAAAATCAGGGAGGGAAGGAGGTCCTTATGTCTCTTTAATGTGGACAGAAATTTCCAGAAGCCACTGAGCAGCAGCATATGCTACTTGTTGTTCCCATAACCAAAGCTGGGTACCAATTTCTGGCTGGCCTTCAATACCAGATACTTGAGGTAAAGATAAAGAAATGAAGATTGAAAACCTCCTGGGGCAAAAAAACTAAACAAGACTACCCGCTTCAACGCCACCAAAAAACAAAGAGCCGGGCATGGTGGTGCACTTCTATCATCCCAGTATAAGTAAGAGGCATAGTCTAGGTTGGCCCACTCAAAAACATGAGACCCTCTCTCAAAAGTAATCAAAGCAAGTCTAGCACTGGTGACTCACACCTGTAATCCTAGCTACTTGGAGGCTGAGATCTGAGGAACATGGTTCAAAGCCAGCCAGCCTGGGCAGAAAAGTCCATGAGTCTTGTCACCAATAAACCACTCAGAAAACTGGAATTGGCCCTGTGGCTCAAGTGGTAGAGGGCTAGCCTTGAGCTGAAGAGCGCAGGGACAGCACCCAGGCCCAGAGTTCAAGTCCCATGACCAAAAAGAAAAAAAAAAAGTGATCAAAGCAAAAATGGCTGGGCATATGGCTCAAAAAGTAGAGCCCTTGCTCTAAGGCCCTCCTTCAAACTTCAGTACTGAAAAAAAAAACCCTTCCCTTGAGCTGCCAAAACAAAATTAAAATCTGAAAGTCTCTAAAACATCATACCAAAAATAAGTGTTTTTAACTAAAAGTTACATTTGATGAGGCTTAGTCTCAGTGGTCACTATGAACTCATCATTTTATGGTTGGGTCATTCAGAATTACACAACTAGATCTTTCAAGTAAAACAGAACAAAACAAAAATCTTATTCCTCACCATTGAGTTGAACTTCCCACGGCAAACATTTGGCCTAGTGGGATAATTACATTATTAAAAAGAAGTCATGATGGTTTTATCCTTAACTGACTCATTGAACTCCCAAGAATACTCGTCTGTAGTTGGTGGCAGTATAAGCTGGAAGTACAGGTTGAGCCACTTGGAGATTTAAAAAAAGGAACCCCAAGGGTACAGCAAGAATACCTCTCTGCATAAGATTATAAAAATGAACTCTCCTCGAAAACTAGGTTTGATAGCCAGATTTAA